AGAGTAACCAAGAATACATGTTTTGAACCATGTACTTAAATCACGAGTTCAGCTCCTCTAAGTTACCTGCATTGAACTGTGCTTTAAATGTTCCATTCTCTTATTTTACCAAATAGCACTAAAAGAAACAGTGTCAATGTCTGTTCTGTACTTCATACTAAATATGTATTTGAAGGCCAAGTGTCTGTTATATTTCTTGATATACTGTATGTAATGCCTTAAGTAAAAAATTTTAATTAACTAACAATAAAAATTCTGATTGTCCACAAATGGTCAACCTTGAATACCAAAAAGGTCAGAGTTAATTATTACTCTGCAAATTGTTAATCCTTATGGTTAATATATTTATTTTTTCCTATTTTGTCATTACTGTTTTTAATTTTTCTTTTTCTTTTCTTTTCTTTTTTTTTTTTTTTGAGACAGAGTCTCACTCTGTTGCTGGGGCTAGAGTGCTGTGGCATCAGCCTAGCTCACAGCAACCTCAAACTCCTGGACTCAAGTGATCCCCCTGCCTCAGCCTCCTGAGTAGCTGGGACTATAGCCGTGCACCACCACACCCGACTAGTTTTTTCTATTTTTAGTAGAGATGGGTGTCTTGTTCTTGCTGAGGCTGGTCTTGAACTCCTGACCTCAAGCGATCCTCCTGCCTCGGCCTCCCAGAGTGCTAGAATTACAGGCATGAACCACTGTGCCTTATCACTGTTTTTAATTTTTCTATGCTAGTTTTGTTGAATATGTTTTTTGGTAATCTACCTCTTTTTTTTTTTTAAAAGAATCAGAATATATAAAAGTAGTAATAAATACTAAAATAGGATTGAAGCAAGCTTCTCAACATAGGAAGTATTATTAATATTACTTAATTTTAATGTTATCAAGTCCATCTCTCCCCTCTGCAGCGCCCACCACAGGAATATAAGGAATGTAGGAGAGACATTTATTTTAAGACTATTGGAATTGGGAGTAGAAAGACGTAGATGGGGTAATCTGAGAACATTATTTTCTTCATTAATTGTAATATCTTTTCCACCTAATCATATACTGAAATTACTGACAAGAAGCAGAATTGACTTCATGTTTTATCTTTTCCATGTTCACCTTACTAATCCTGTAATGGTATAAATAGAGGAATTCCAACAATGTAGCATTTAGTAATAGAAATAACATGGATAATTAATCTCTGAAAAATTAAAAATTACTTGAGTGGCTTTGGGTTCAAAGCACTTAACCTCCTTAAAGAGGTTATAATTTAGCATTCTTTTAAATTGTTAAGCAGTTGTATTATAATAGCCATAGTCAACTGGATGGTCATTTTAAGAGTCTTATACTGTACCAACTCAGCTAGCCCAGTGACCTGGATGGTCATTTTAAAATTACAGAAGGGAATTTGGTATATATTTAGTAAACCCCGCAATAATATACTCTAAGATAATGCAGGTTTGGATGTAAAGCAATTAGTGGTTGGTTTCTGTCCTCTGCAGGGTAGGTAGAATGGAAAGCCAGGCATAGTGGCTCACATTTGTAATCCTAGCACTTTGGGAGGCCGAGGTGAGAGGACTGCTTGAGGCCAGGAATTTGAGACCAGCCTGAGCAACATAGCGAGACCCTGTCTCTACAAAAAATAAGAAAAACTAGCCAGGCATGGTGGCATATACCTGTAGTCCCAGCCACTCAGGAGGCTGAGGCAGGGGGATTACTTGAGCCCATGAGTTTGAATGGCAGCCCACCCATAGCTCCAATGTTTTTCTTGCCCAAGTGCCTTGAATTGGGCTGACGAACTTGGTGTGACTAACTAGGTGATTGCTGGAATTGCTGCTACTGTCCAAGAATTCCTAGCCCACCAGAAGACCCAGAAACATCCCTATTGATATTTAAATCATAATAGACAATCACCCCAGATGGTGATAAACTGCAGCTGGGATAGAGATGGGCGAGAATCACTCTGCTATATTCCTAAAACTCCTAACCGGCTACCTCTGTTATATCTCTTTAGTCATTCCATTAACTTCATAATAATGCAACCCTCTTATTTTGTATGAATGAATTTTTTGGAGATGGTTTATTGCATTATGTTTGTAGTTTTACTGTACCAATATATTTAAGGCTGTATAAGAAATCTTTTCATAATTGTTTTTATTGGCAAGTAGTACAGGAGAAAATAAAGCATTTGTGTTAAATGCCAGGAAAAGCTATTTTATATTGAGTATGTTTATGTGCATTCTAATCAATGTTTTAATTTTACAGTTACTTTCTATGATGTCTCTATTGTTCTGCAAGCTTTTATACTGACTACTGCAGTATTTCTTGGTTTGACTGCGTATACTCTACAATCTAAGAGAGATTTCAGCAAATTTGGAGCAGGGTAAGTTATATATTCTTGGATATAATAGATAGATGTCTTTAATATTTTAGGTGGTTTTGAGAGAAGTGCTATACTGTTTGTTGGCTTTGGGTACTGCCTTTTAAAATGTAGGGTAATAAGAGATCATCTGTTTGAGTACTAGGGCCAGGCCCTACTCTCCCAGAACATACAAGGAGATGGAAAGTGGCTTTGAGTCATTTCCTTCCCCTGTATGGTGAAACGGAAGTAAATGCCAAAAACAAAAAATCAGCTTTCCTGATAGACTAAGCTTGTATGCTTCATGAACAGTGTGGAATTTACTGAAATTATTTCTGTCTCTGTCTTAGTATAAATGTTATCAAAATCATCCACATCTTTGTGGAAAAAACAATGTAATTAGCTGAGATGTTGAAAATATCTGTATGAACTTTAAAACCTTTTTGATCCACCTGGATTAACCTGTATGCTTCTTCAAACAAACATGGAATGAGCCTGTTAATATTAGGATAATGGTACTGTGTTGCCCTCACCTGGTAAGAATGTATAGACTCTGTTCTAAGCTTACAATGGCTTCCTATTGGCACACAGTCACCCAACCATTTTCTGTTCTTTTTCCTGTTACAACACTGAATATTTACAAAAGTCTACTCTTGCAAAACTTTCTTTCCACCCGCTCCCTCCTTTTATTCTGGTAATCCAGATTATCAGAAATCTCTATTGAGATAAAATATAGTTGGTCAGCCAACATTGACAATTGTGCAAGCTGCTTAAATAGTTTTTTTTTCTTTTTTTTTGAGACAGAGTCTCACTCTTTTTGCCCGGGCTAGAATGCCATGGCGTCAGCCTAGCTCACAGCAACCTCAAACTCCTGGACTCAAGCAATCTTTCTGCCTCAGCCTCCCGAGTAGCTGGGACTACAGGCATGCGCCACCATGCCTGGCTAATTTTTTCTATAGATTTTTAGTTGTCCAGCCAATTTCTTTCTATTTTTTTTAGTAGAGACGGGGTCTCGCTCTTGCTCAGGCTGGTCTCAAACTCCTGAGCTCAAAGGATCCGCCCGCCTCGGCCTCCCAGAATGCTAGGATTATAGGCGTGAGCCACTGCACCCAGCCCTTGCTTAAATAGTTTTGTTAGAATGGAGCTTGATTTAGGGAAAAGCAACATTTTCTTTTTTCTTTTCCTTTTCTGGGGAGATGTTTCATACATATTTGTGTGGTGTTTGTGCTTAAAGATTTGCTCTGCATCCGCTTCCCATCCTAGTCCCCCGCTGTTCCCCACCTTCCCATCCATTCCAGCATTGTCTCTCAAACTCTTGTTCTGGTAAACAGCCTTCCTTATATTTCAGCCTCTTCGTATTTTTTAATGTCATTGTCGATCAGTTATATCATTGTGTCATTTCTGGATTTATTGGTTTTTCTCCTTGTTATGAGTCATATCTCCTTCATTCTTTTGTATGCTTTTATGTTTTTGATTGGATGCTGGTCACTATAAATTTTACACTGTTGGGTGCTGAATTTTTTTGTCTTCACTTTAAATGTTTTGGGCATTGTTCTTCTAGGATGCAGTTAAGTTCCTTGGAAACTGAACCTTCTGAGGCTCTGTTAGGCGGGTCCAGAACAGTTTTCAGTTTAGAGTTCATGTAACCCTAATTGTTACCCTTCTGTGACTACTCACTGCATGTCTTAGGAGGTCTTTCTACTCCAGCTGGTGTGAATGCAAATTGTTTCCAGCCCTGTGTGAGCTCTGAGGATTATTTTGCCTGCTCTTTTGTGGCAATTCTTTCTCCAGCCTGGGTCACTTCCTCACATGTACATGTTGAGCAAAACTCAGCTAAAGACTCTAGGGGAATGCTGTGCATATTACCAGAACGTGTGTATGGATGCTTTCTGTCTCTCTGTCTCTCAGTATAGCTCTCCCCTCTCTAGTACTCTACCCTGCAAATTCTAGCCACGTTGGCCTATCCGAGCTCTGAATTCTTGTCTCTGCTGAAGACCACAAGGCTCTGTATGGGTTCCTGTCCCAACTCCATGGCCTGGAAACTCTCTAACTGCGGCAATTATAGAGCTCACCTTCTTTGTTTCCCTTATCTCGGGAATCGCTGTCCTGTGCTGCTTGTTGTGTGGTGTCTGAAAGCTGTTGTTTCATATATTTTGTCTGGTTTTATTTAAGGAGGGAGGATAAATTTGGCCTCTGTAATTCCATGTGGCTTGAAGCAGCAGATTTGTCCCATATTTGATAATTAAACACTTCTTAGATATCCTCTGTCATATAACTATATTTTTTACATATATGTAACAATTGAATTGGAACTCATAAAATTATAGCAGTGTCAAATTTGTGTCCATAAATTGAGTTCTATAATAAATAAGAATAAAATAGAAAGTACATTGTAAACTTTAATATGCATGTTTGCAGAATAACTTGCTATTATTATTTGGTTTAAAAATGCAGTCATGTTTCATTTGTTCTTGTATATATTTCCAAGAAGTTTTTGTAGACCTCTGAATTAAAATCTAATGATATTTATGTTTATGTCAATATTTTCTTTGTGTTCCAATTGAAAACTTTAAAAATGATATTCTTAACTAGGTTTGTAACTATAAAAACAAATGTTGAATAAAATAGCTGTCTTTCAATTTCTGTAAAAAAATTCAAAATGGGTATTCTTTGTATATTTATGAGTCGTTAAATTTTAATTATTTTTC